GTGTCACTCCATTGACTAGTTTTTAACTATACGAGTGACACCAAACCTTATTTATGTAAGTTTATCATTTATTATTGTAAATTTCCATATTTTATGGTAAGATAAATCAACAAAAACCTAAGTGTCTCTATTATAGATTAAAATTTGTGAAAGCAAATAAATTTTTTTTTTAAATTTTCAAAAATGAAGAAGTGTTTTTGTTTAGGAGATTTCTTTTCACAAAAGCATTTAAAATTTTTTGATTTCTATTAATTGTGTTTGGCATAAATTATTTATGAAAATTAAGTCTCAAATACCTTAATGGTAACTGACAAAATCTTTATATAAATTATTTATGATTTTTATTAAAAATATTTCATTAAATGAATATAAAAATAATAATAATAATAAGTTGTGATAAACAAAAGATTATGTTATATATATGGGCAATACCATTTTTAACTTACGTTACACATACAACAATTACGTTACACATACAACAAAAAAGACTATTAATTTTATCAAATTCATCTTTGAAAGGGTTGTAAAGTCAATGTTTTTTCCTATCAAAGCTATTTTTATTTCTTTTTGAAAAAAAAAATTATTTATTGTTCTAACACTGCAATTGTGCTGCCGTGTTGCTGCCACCTAGTCCTTGAGTCACACATTAAAACTACCTAGTTCTTGAGTCACACATTAAAACCCTTTCTTTATTATTTGTTTTAACAATATTTAAGATCATCATCATTGCTTACCAATGATCTACAAAACATTTTAACTATTTTTCTAATTTTGGTTCCTGAAATTCAGTTTTGGTGGTACCAAAACTTTATTTAATATTTGAATATTTTGAGCACACTCAATTGAACTTTCATCTTCTTTCTTGCTGTCATCATCATCAACATCATCATGAATGAACAGTTTCATTGGTATCTACATGTCGATTTTTTTATTTTTTTATTTATTCTGATTCACTCCCAACAATACTGCAAGCAACCACTATTAAGTTGGGAGTTACTAGAAAAAAAAGAACAGAGTTACAGAGCAAGGAAACGGTTAACAGAAGACTTGAACAATATTATTGTAACATTAATGACAACATTATTGTGTGGTAATGTAACATGATTTTTTTTTGAAAACCACACCAATTACTCATGATTGTAACACATTTGATGTACAGGTTTTGTGTCATTGCCAATTTTTTTATTAGATTGGCTCCATTAGTAACAGAGGCAATATCTTTGTCTAAATGTAAATTGAATGAATCAAGTTTTTAGTAATTAGTTTAATGACTTAAGCTGCTGGCATTGTGCCATGCACCCTTTACATTCCAAGGGAATCCTCTGTTATAATGTTCATTATAATTCAATATATCTCCTGTTTTTAACTGATGTGTCTTCGTCAAATGTAAGGCTAATTTCACCATTATTTAGAATGATTTATTTAAATGAACCAAATACTTGTTTCTTGACTGAGTAAAAAATTTTCATAATTAAATCACGAACAGTTTGGTGACTTTTTGGGGTGTTATATCCTTGAGCACAAATGATCATAAAACTTGATTATTAGCAATTGTTATAAAACTTAATTCATCAAGTGCAGTCAATCTGCTCAAAATTTCAGGTAAAGTTTTAAGCCCAGAACTGAAAAAGTTTTCATTTCTTGATATTTTATGAATAGGACTAATTTCAACAGCCTCAGAGTTTGAGACATTGCATTTTAGATTGTCATTTTTATGTTTTGTTTTTAAGTGTCTTGTTATGGTTGCATGTAGTTGAGGCAGGAGTTTTTAATAAAATTTTACACTTTGATTGTTGCAACTTTTGAGAAAAATCAAAATAATTCAAATCCTCAGACCTTTTAGATGTGCTAAAGTCCTTAAAAGTATCCAATTTTAATTTTGAATCAATATTTTAATTTTAATATTTTTGTCTGTACCTTTATTTACGTTTTCAACAAAAAAAATAATAATGCTACCATAAATGACAATGGCCATGACATCTAAATGCTCTGAGTTTCCAGCCAAACAAAACATAAATAGACCAAAAAGATAATATATTGTTTTGAAAATACTTTCAAGGTTTGAACTTTCAGAAAAAATAAGTTCGAACATAAACGCTAAAACTATGGGTGACAAGTTCAAACTTTCGAGCTCGAACATGTTCAAACTAGCAGCCCTACTTTTAATGTAGTTTTGCAAGAATGCATACGACTTCAGTGAATTGGCATTCATGGCTGTATAGTGTGTCAGTATGCCCTAAAAAAATACAACCCCAATGGTACATAAAAATAAAAACAAAATAAGCAATGTATAAAAATACAGGGCAATTTAAGCGATGCATAACAATGTAAACAATGCACAAAAATTTAAAAAATTGAATAAATTTTTTTTTTTTTTACTAATAGTATTTTTTTACCATTTTCAAACATTCCTTTTTTAATTTTTAACTTTGTTTTAAGTAATTTTTTTTTTTTTTTTTTGCTGTATTTTTTTTATTTTGAGTTATTTTATTTATTTAAATTGTTTGATCTTGTTTTTACTTTGTTCTTGTTTTTTTATTCCTCTGTTTTTAAAAGAATTTTTGATTTTTTTCTATATTCATCTTTTTTTTTTTTTCAGTTTTACCAATAAAAAACACCCCTATTTGCAATATCATTGCAAAGAAATTCCAAAAAAACAGACTACAGACTCAACTATCTCCTTTTAAATTGATGCATTATTTTGGTTTTACCTTGTACTGCACAACAACATTTTTTATTTGCGGTTCATGTTGGTTCCATCTATGCCATCAAAGAATGCATCTAAATTCCTTCCCCTTTTTTTCTTTCTGAAATATAAGCCACAATTCCTATTTAAGTAAAAGTAATTAATTTGGTAAATGATAATAAATGATCACAATTATAAAACTATTATCATAATAAGTTATATCATTACAAGATTTTTAATAAATTACAACAATTTGTTATAATAGTAATTCTAACATTATAATTATATATAGTAAGTTACAACAATTATAACTTGAATTTTTTATTTAGAAAAAATTTAAAATTTTTAATTTTTTTTTTTTAAAGAAAAAAACTAAAGTTTCTTTAAATAATTTTTTTTCACAAATATATAGGCTAATAGTTATCTTAAACTTCTGCAATATTTGTTTATTTGTAAAAAAAATTTGCAAGCTATGAACTAAAACAAAAGTTTATGTAATGAGATTTTTAAGTTATAGTATTGTTGTGGTTTGCTGATGAATATCTTCAACATAATAATAAATAATCACTATAATTAAATACTACACTGTTTGACGTCTGTATAGTATTGTACTGCATAATGTCTATACAGTACTGTAAAATATTTGTACATCACCGTATGTCTGTACTGTATTGTATCTTACTGTTTGTCTGTGACTTCATTTCTTTACAGTAATGTTTAATATCTGTACTATACTGTATATATTCAGGGGCTATTCTAGGAAAATAATTTGGGCGGTGTACCCCTCTGCCTCACTCCCCCCTCTTAAAATTTAAGTAATGGGGGGGGGGGCCGAAACATGTTTAGAAAATTTCAAAATTTTTGTTTTTAGATAAACAAAAATTTAGTTAGTTTTTAGCTTTATTATTATGTTTAAATGTATTTGAAATAATTCACTATAATTCATTCCTGTTAAAATGATCTGTTACATAAATTTTATAAGGAAGTTGCTACCTAAAAATAAATATTGCACAGAAGTTTCACTGAAATAAAAATAAATTAACAAATAGCCAAATTACCTTAAATTTACTAGATTGCAAATGTTTATGGGGAAAAAAACCCACATATTTACTGCAACAAACTTACTAATCTCATTGAGTCCATAACTTATATGTATAACTTCCATGTATAAAATAATTATTGTATGAAACTGCTGTTGATGTAGTTAATAAAAAAAAAAATCTTTAAAATAATTATTGCCATATTTTTGCCAAAAATTAAAACAAATAAATATAAGCTAAATAAAAAAACATTACTACTTTAATCAACCTAAATGCGTTTACTAATGTACGAACTTTAAAAACAATGGTACTGGTGGTCCGGTGAATATACGCGCTAAATTAAAAAGTTTTGTCCAAGTCTCTTCAAAATAAAAAACCATAAATTGAAACTTATTTTCATATTCATTTATTTTTATATAACGGCTGCAAGACAACGGATCTATTCAAAATTAATGCCAAATAAATATATATATATATATATATATATATATATATATATATTTCTCTATCATATTTATAAATATTTACATATATGTTAAATAAATTTAAAAAAAAGGTCTTCAATTACCTGAATTTGGGCGGCGCCCAAATACGGTCGGCGCTGTCGAAAACGGTCTAGAATAGCCCCTGATATTCTGTACTATATATAACTGTATGGTAATGTGTTTTATCTGTACAGTCCATGTGTCAGTACTGTACTATGTAATTTTTGCACTATACTATGAGTCTGTACTTTATAATGTCTTTACTATACTGTATGTCTGTATAATGCTGTATATCATGTCTTTACAGTACCGAATAATGCCTGGACTGTATGTCTGTTCACTAGAATGTCTGTACTAAACTGTATGTTTTTTAGAGTAGTACACAATATTAATTTTGATTTAACAAGTAATGATAATTTTATAATACTAACATTTTGGTGACATTATATCTGATGTTGTCAAATTATTTTCATTCAGGATGGAACTACTGTTTTAATTCTTGCTGCTGCTAATAATCATCTTCCTATTGTAAAAGAAGTTCTTATGTGTGGGGCATCAGTTAATGCAAGAAGAAAGGTACATTTCGAAAAAAAAAATCCTAATTTTTGTTTTATGGTGTGAAAGAAACTTACCTAAGAATAGGAAAACGTGGCTTTGTTAAGAAGCATTATGCTGTACGCATTTTATGTATAAAATGGAGGTTTTATCTACATGTTAAGCCATTTATGATATGCCATAATTTTTTTTAATTAGGTTATTTAAACAGTCTTTTAAAATAGTTTATGCAAAAAAAATTAGGCAGTAAAAAATTGTTGTAAAAAGCATTTTCGCTGCAATTGTGAAATAATTTTTTTTGGATAAAAAAAATAGTTTAAATAAATTTTTTTCTGCTTTCCGTTTTTAAAAAAAATTTTAATTTTATTTTATTATACTTAAATGAAATTTATTATTAAATAATATTACATTTAATTCAAATTTTAAAAAAGATTTCAAATGCTTCTTTTTACTTTTTTTTTTTCTTTTTAAAGTTTAAAACTATGTTAAAGAAAATTTTTTTATCAAATTTAAGTTGTTTTTTTATGTTTGTTTTTCATTTAACTATTTGTTTATTTATAGTTTCAAATCCATAAATTTTTTTCATCCCATTACAAAAGTCCTCAATGCTTTTGCTGTATAAAAATGCATTACTGGATAAGCCATCAAAATTATTTTATAGAATCTTATAACATTATATAGCAAATTTATGAAAAGATAATTTAAGAACATAATTGCAAAACAATGTATCATTACAGGGGTCACATTATGGAAAAATTTAGGTATACCATAATGGTCACCACATGAAAGGGGTTAAATAAAAAAATATAAGTGTGTATATACAGTGGGTTGCCAAATTATTAGGGACACTTTAATTTTTATGTAATTATAAAGTTTAAACTACTTTAATGAATAAATACGTATCTTGTTATTTTTTCATTGTTTTTATTGTTAGAGAGCTTTATTTAGAATATAAAACAACATAATTACTTATTCCTAGGTTCTTTTTTTTTTATATAAATAGCTTTAACATAACAAATAAGTTAATATTCTTAATATTTTGTAATACTACCCTTTGCTACAATAACGGTTTTCAGGCATTGGGGCATGCTTTCTATGCAGACTTTTGCATTGTGTTAGAGACTGGGGTTGTTATGCCACTTTCTTAAAAGGTTTCTATCAATTGCTGCTTGGTAGTGATGAATTTTTTGGTAATATCCTGTTTTGTGAACTCCCATAGATTTTCTATGGGGTTCATATCAGGTGAATTCTCCAGCCATGGAAAAACATTCACATTTTTTTCAGTTAGGAGTACTGTAACACTTCTGATTTTATGGCATGGTGCTAAGTCATGCATGAACATAAATTCTTCATTACAAGATACCTGGGACAGGACCTGTTTGTCTTGAACTTGAGGCAGGAGCCTGTTTTTCAGTACTGGCTTCTACTGATTTTGAAACACTTGCAATTGCTGCTATTTCTTTCTGAAACTGTTTAGAATGAAGAAATATGGCTTTTACTTCCCTACTTTTTCCTGGGGTTAAGTCTGAAGACTTGCCCATACTAAAAAAATCAATGAGAGGTGAGAATGGTTACAAGTCAGGATTTATGCAATATAGTCATCAAGAATAATAAATTATTAACCATAACTAATTGAACTATTAACCAATACTTAGGTTTCAATAGTTAGGAATTCAAAAAACTTGCAAAAAATTGTTCCAAAAATAAAAAATGGAAATCAATCTTGAACTTGCTATAACCACACTTTTCAACAATTAATGAGTACACACACACACACACACACACACACACACACACACACACACACACACACACACACACACACACACATAATAAAAAGAGGAGAAGAAACTCGTCTTTATTTGTTTAAAACGGTGTACTTTTCAGACCATAAGTATTATCAAGAAATGCTTGTCTTTAAAGGTTTATTTGCAGTTTATTTGTAGGCTTTTGAAGTTGATTAAAGTAGTAAATAGCTTTTATTTACCTCATTTCTATTTTTTTAATTTTTTTTATTTTAGGATATAACAATAAGTATTTTTATCCCATATTTGTATTAGCATATTTGTATTAGATTAACATATGTTAATGACATTTAAAACAATAGTTGTAAGAGTCTTATGCAAGAGTTTTGAAAAGAAATTTTACTTTCATTTTTTGACAATACATAAAAAATTAAGGCTGTTACCTCAGCGCAGATAAAAAGCTATTGTTTAAGCATTAAAAATAAAACTCCCTTATTTGACAAATATATCTTATATTTAACAATCATCAATAATTAAAGATATAAACGTCAATGTTCATTAAAAAAATCATTTTTTGTGCCCTGTATATATATATATATATATATATATATATATATATATATATATATATATATATATATATATATATATATATATATATATATATGTGTATACGTATTAGTGCTTGCATATATCTTCGCGAGAGTGCTCGATGACTTAAAGTAAATTAAAATGGTTTAAATTAAAACAGAGCTGTATTTACATATATTATTTATAAATAAAACTGCATATTTTTCACAAATATGCAGTTTTATTTATAAATAATATATGTATATATATATATATATATATATATATATATATATATATATATATATATATATATATTTATATATATATATATATATATATATATATATATATATTTATATATATGTATATATATGTATATATATGTATATATATATAAATATATATATATATATATATAAATATTTATATATATATATTTATATATATAATATATATATATATATATATATATATATATATATATATATATATATATATATATATATATATATATATATATATATATATATATAACTTCAAAAATTGAACTACATCTGCATCATCTATTAACAATTGGTAGATAAACCAACTACAAAAATACTCATTAAGGTCAACTTTTGCTTCTATAAAATTAACATCCTGTCAAGAAACAATTTCAATACATCACCTATAAAACTGAACATGTTTCACAAATAAAATATTAAAAATTTAAACTTTAGTAACTTTAAAAACAGATTGAAAATTAAAAAATACATACTATTTACAGATAAAAGTATATTTGTTAATTTATGATATTGATAATAAAACATTCAAAGATATTTCAGAAACTTATAAAAGTTAAATAAGAAATACAAAAAAACTTACAATGTCCACATCTACAATGCCTCGTGCATTATTAGTTAAAAGCGTTCGAGCTGACTCTTCCAATATTATACGGAGTATAATACTATTTTGATGGTTATCTAAATCATGTCATTGTTGCGCATTAGATTTAGAATGTTTAATGGGGGAGTGGCAAAATAGCTGTAAAAGTTTAAACTTTCTTATTACCTTAATATTAGGTATTTTTAACTTTTTATTATATTTAGAAATTATAAATTTAACAAAATAGTTTATTTAAAATATAAAATTAAAATTTTCAATTAGGTTTTTAATAAAAAAATATATTTTTTAAACCTTAATGTTTAAAAAAGTTAAGGTTGCTGCATGGCAAGTTCAAATCATCAGCTTGCTTTTTTTTTTTAATTTTGTTATTTAAAATGTAAAACAAAACAACTTCCAAGCCTTTCTGGGAAAAGGAATTTTTTGTCAATAATTATACAATAGGAAAATAAGAAAATATATTGTTACTTATTTGTAAAAAATATTATTTGATTAATAAATTTTGTTAAAGGGACTACAAAGTCCCGAGACATGTTGTGTTCATATTAAAGTAAATGTTAAAAAAAAACGTCTGAGCAAAATTTTTTTGATTAAAACTAATTAATAAATGTATACCAAGAAAAACAAATCTTGTTGTTTTAGTCGAAACTCGTCTTGTCCATTTTCTGCGGTATTTTGAGTATGTAAAATAAATGCGATTTTTCAGGCGCATTATACAGACTTGATAATTTATTCAAGCGCGTTTAATTCATAGGAGTTTTAGTGCATGACGCCATAGATTTATTTTTTTTGTTTGTTTAAAACACCGATTGATATTTTTTACATATGATGTTTTACAAAATAAAACATCATTTTTCAAATGTGTTTTATTTTGTATTTTAGAAAAAAATAAAGTTAAAATCACCAGCAGTAGGAGTCGAACCACAGCTTCCGTATTAATAAGCCGGTGTGCTAACCACTTGGCAACGCAAACTTGTTGTTTAGCAAAAGTTTTAAAACTATATAAATAATAAAAAACTTTATAAAACGGAAATAAGTGCAATTGATCAACTCTTAAGGAGCTGCAATGCAATTTTCAAGTGAAAGTAAAACTGTAAAACTTGATATTTGTTTTAGTATGTTTTTAACTTTACATAATTTGAAGTTTATGTTAGTTATTTGCATACATATTTGTTGACTTTTCTTATTAAAAAAAATGCTGCAACACTTACCCGCTATTACCTCAGTTTCAATGGCTGCCAAGAGTACCGTGTCAAACACTCTCAAATGAGCATTGACATGTTCCTTATTATATTATAATATGATTAATAAATAATCAATAAATTTGCGTCATGCTCAATTTTATTGATTTTTGAAGCACAAACAATGATTATCAAAGTTTAAGATAGGGTTATTTCATGTTATTTGCCCCAGAAATTTTTGAAAATGTTACTATATATCTCAGATTTGGCTGAATTTTATACAGTTAAGAGTAAAATTAAAATTCCTTTAAAATTTTAGTCTTGAACTCCAAGAAGATTCTAAAATATGACTATTTTACTTTTAGCAGATTATTGATATTGATATTGGATATATTGATACTAACCAGGCCCCTCTTGTGCCTTCAGAATCACAACCTTTATTTAAAGGTTTCACTTAAAAAGTATTTTGTCTTACTTTAAAGTTTATATCTGGCTATTTTCAGAACTGATGAATGTAATGAAATGATCAGAAATGTAAAAAATTATAAAGTACCTATAATTATCAATTTAAATAAATTTAGGCAATTTTTTGTATGCCTGTTTTTAATGCTCAATAAACCCATTTGACCTTGATAATATCAAATTAATATATATTACAAATCATTTTATATTCATTGATCTTTCAAAAATATAAGGATTTTGGCCTGGAAGTATCACTGGAAGTATATTTTTTTACATATTTAATGATTGTTCATTAAATATGTAAAAAAAAAACAACTAAAAAATGAAACAAAAACAAATTGTGAAAGTAAAAGATTATGTTATGCATAAAATTTTTTTAAGAAATAAGTTA